ATAGGGTTGCACACACACACACACACACACACACACACACACACACAGATGGTATCGTTGCGTTAAAGAGTCCCTATCTACAGGTTTCCCCACTTCGAGTGTTACTCATTCATAAGAAATTTAGCCAGTTCCTTATGTGCATCAAAGAGTTTTCAGAAGCTAGTTGTCGAAAGAGGTTTGCAGTTGTTTGAGTTAGAACGCTGCGGTGCAGAAGGAGGAGACGGGCAATCATGGCTCTAAGCGTCGTCAGAGTTGGGATTGCTAGGCGGGGATCTCATGCGAAGGAAACCGTAGACTGACGTACGCGGGGAAGAGGATAAGGCAAACTATATTGCCCAACGACCAGCGACACAGTAGAGCTGTGTCGGGCCGTGGAGAGCCTACCTCGAGAGGCAGGAGGGCCAAGACGAACTGAGAGGGCGAGGGGGCAGCTTGGCGGACAGAAGGGAGGAGCAAGGACGAGGTCGTGCGCAAATAGGAGAGTGGTGATCGATGTTATTCAGATTCTAACTATATGCTCCGGTCCTCCCGATGAGTTTGAGCAATGCATTCTTTTTTTTTTTTTTTTTTACCAGACTTGCAATATGCGAACTTCATTTCAATGGCCCATATTGCAAGTCAACAACAGATAAGCAAACATATAACCATCTGTCAGACTGTCACAGCTTTTGAAAGCAAGTGAAGGAACCGATCCTAAAAGAGTTAGTTAAAAGAACACACAAAAGGATATCGATTCGTGAGACCTATACTCGGCTCCCCTATGCAACTCAAGTACCACGAACACCACTCGAATCCATCACGATCACGCCACGTGTCACACGGGGAATCGATCGTCAGCTCGCAGCGGTGCTGTGGTCCCCACCTACCACGCGGGTTGGGGAGAGATCCGGGTTGGTTGGTGTTCCTCCGTACTATACATACATAGACTAGTGAGAGGATGAGAGAGATGCTTACTACCGAGAAAGAAGATGAAATAGATGAAAGAAAAATATAGCTTACTTCCAAAAAAAAAAAAAAAAAAAAAAAAAAAAAAAAAAAGAGGGATTAAATATCTGTATCCGCTCCCTGCCCCATCATACAGGAGTTTATAGTGCGAATGACCTTTTCTCTAGTTGGAAGAAACTCGCCCAAGCGTCCAATCATATAGAATTCCACAAAAATGAGAATAATTATACAAAAACAAGGTCCTATCAGTGCTCAGTGCAACGACAAAATTTTAGATCAGATCTAGAGTGATTATTTCGGACATGTGGCATGTGCATTAAACTGACGGATTCGATCTTGCGTTCGAGTCCTGATGAATTCTACTAATGTCGAGGGGTAATCTTCTCTGACGAAAGAGGAAAAAAAGACCAACTTGAAGGCGAGGCTGAAGCTGAACGAGGGAGCTGAATCTGAAGCTGAAGCTGAACGAGGGAGCTGAAGCTGAAGCTGAACGAGGGAGCTGAAGCTGAAGCTGGGGCTGTTCGCCAATTGAACAAGAAGCTTGAGCAGCAAACGAGCATACAAGAAACTCCGCTGGGGGTAACCAATAGCGGAGTTGGAGGGGGGAGAGGGGACAGGTTGGTCAAACTCGCAGATTGCACCCAGAAAAAAAAACACACGAGCAAAAAGAAATAAAAGAGGAAAGCAGAAAGGGGAGCTGAAGACTTAAACCGGGCGATCGAGATCAGAATCACATGACACAGGGTGGCTCTTTCCTAAAACGATAGAAGATGAAGACTAGAGCGCCACCAATAGTTAACGAGACCAGGCAAACTGTGACAAGCACGCCAGACATCACGCCCACGCGAACACCAATACTCGATTTCTTATGGGCTCTTGCCGGTGAAGAAGTGGAGAGCCCGTCGACAAACATATTACCTACCAATGTACCACTGCCGTTATCCTCCTGCGAAGACGATGATCCCGTTGCTGGCGATGACCAGATCTGCGCATCTGTCTCCGGATATCCATCAGTGGAAGGCGCTGGCGATGAGAATGATGATGATGGCGCTGTCGACGCTGCTGTGGATGGTGCTGTCGATGGCGATGACTCTATCTCGGGGTTCTCGGGGTTTGTGGTTCCACTGGACCGAGTCCGCGATGTCGATGATGATGATGATGCTGTCGATGGTGCTGTGGATGGTGCTGCGGATGATGCTGTTAAGGATGATGCCGATGGCCATGACTCCACCCCTGGGTTTGTCGATCCAGTTGATGACGCTGGCGATGTCGATGATGATGATGCTGGCGATGGTGATGTGGATGGTGCAGCCGGTGGAGCTGTCGATGATGCCATCGATGGCGATGATTGTATCTCTGGGTCTGTCGCTCGAGTGGGTGGCGCTGACGATGGCGATGATGATGATGATGATGATGATGCCGATGGTTCTGTCGATGATGCTGTCGATGGTGAGTTCCATGAAGGTGTCGATGGGGATGGGATTGACGATGATTCCGTCGATGGTGGCGATGGTGTTAATGATGTCTCCGTAAATGGTGCTTTCAATGGCGATGGCAATGAAAAGGAGAATTCGTTCGGTGGCGCTGGCGATGGCGATGGATGCGACGGACTACTGCCTGTCGGTGGTGCGGGTGTTGGAAACGCACCGCTGCATTGGTGCAGTCCCAGCTTGTTGATTGACAGCTCGAACAGCTTGCCGTTCTGGATCGACACGTACAAATGGCTGTCATCGTTGTCCAAAGCAACCGCCCCAATCATGCATCCTCCCGGGAACTTGAAGGTGCATCTTGCGACGGTCTCTACGTTAATCGCCTTTCCTCTCGGCTTGTCTAAAGCCACCCAAACGACACTCATCGCCCCATCGTCGACGAAGAACAAGTTGCATCCATCTTGCGTCAGCACGGGCTCTCCCAAGTTAACAAGCTGTGCGAAGTTAATTACCGGCACCGGGTTACCCACGGAATCGGCCATCACGGTGCCAGTCACCCGGTCGATGGTTCCGCTAAGTGTGTTAAATCCTAGGACGGAAGCGTTAGCTTTGTCCCTGGCGTATAGGTAACTCCCATCTTGGACAAAGCTTCGATGTCCGAAGGAGAGGGATGAGAGCTTGGTGTCGTTCGGGCATGCTACTCTTGTGAAATCGCTGAGGAAGCTGCCCGGCGACTCGCCATCCATCGCGGAGTATACAAGGCAGCCACGTCTCCCCAGGTACAGAATCGTGCGGTTCGGATTGAATGCCGCGAACTGACAGTCCAAGTCGGAGATGCGTTGAGCGGTTGTGGAACCATCCGTGGTGTTGACGAATGCCAGACCTTTGTCCAATAAGGGCAGAACGAGATGCCGCTCGCTCCGCGACAGATCGAACGCCAAGTAGTCGGCACTTTCCGCAGTGCCGTTCAGACTTCCCGACGTCCATCTCAGAGTCAGCGGGAAGGAGTCGCCTTGCGCGTCCCCAGCGCTGGCAATCGCGCGCAAATCCGCCTTGTGCAGGGACCGATTTCCGCTGGCCTGGTTTGTTGTACTACTCAACCATCCATCCTCCTTTATGTAGAAGAACACCCCCCTCTCGGAGGTAAATAGGACGCTCCTGACCCACTTCAAACACAAAATGTCACCCGGCGAACGACCAACGGAACTCGTAACGGTCAGCACTACGCGGGGACTTTGAAGAAGAGACCTGTTTGTGATGGACAGACCAGTCAAGGGAGCCTGCAACCTTCTCTCTCCTCGCACACTGTCAATGCCACGATGAGCGCAATCCATTCCCTCTTCACCGCAGTCCCTCCCTCTCTGCGTTGTCACGACTCCATCTTCTCCGACTACCACTAACAGTCGCACTGGCATGACTGCCACCATCATCGCCATCATCATGACCATCATCGTGACCATCGCCACCATCGTCACCGTCAGCATCATCCACGAGCTCGAGAGGCGAGCGCGAGGCCCCATGATTGATTGCTAAAGGGTCGGGAGAAGGGAAGAGGAAGGCAGTTCACGCAGACCCGTAGGTATCTCGAGGATGGAAACGTGACACGTCAGCTTCGGACGATCTCTGAAAGGACTGGTGAGAGAAACTAGAAATAGACGGTAAGACGATTGCCGCATCGGCACAGAGAAGCCCCACCTCTGCAAGTCACAGAGCCGGTCAGATTCACCTCAACACATCTATGAAAAAGTATAGGCGAGGCCAGTAGGCATGCCTCCGCAGTGCTGCGCCGACCAATTATCGCTGTGTACTCTACGACAAGGAGTCAGCAGACTCGGCACGTGGAGCGCGAAGTGACAACAGGGGAGAAGAAGCTGCGCGCAGGGACGGAGCGGCCAAACGGAAGGGAAAGCAGGGAGGCACACACACGCAACGTTCAAACACACATGAACGAGCGCGCGAAAAGTGCGCACACACGCACACCCAGGGACACACAGAGAGAGAGAGAGAGAGAGAGAGAGAGAGAGAGAGAGAGAGAGAGAGAGAGAGAGAGAGAGAGAGAGAGGGGGGGGGGGGGGGGGGGGGGGAGGAGGGGGGGGGGGGGGGGGGAGGAGGTGGCGGGGAGGAAATGAGTGAGCGATAGTTCTAATATTGTTCCGGAGGTTCGATGACCATATACATCAATACGACGCAAAGCACAGAGAATCTTGGGGCGTATTCACACTACCGTGATGCTTTTTCTTCTCCCCGGATGTGAGTACCGTCAGGCTGTCAGCAACACTAACGACTTAAACTAGAGCGCGCGAAGGTTTGCTCACACACGC